GACATTGATTTTATCCAAATTAGTAACACATTTTTTACTCTTTTCTGACACCTCTCACATGTGGTCAAATGTTGCGACTGTAGGTGTGTGCAACGGTTGAGATTTCAATTAAAATCTGCCAATTAATTGCCTCCAGACATAGCTTTAGATTCTTTCGTAACATTATATTTATATCTAAAGTGGAGCTTGACGGATCCTCAATATCCACATTAAGTCTTTTAGAAAATTTATTACGTGTATTCTCTTTTTATTCTTACCTAATCAGAAGTGCCAAACATGCTCGATAATATGCAAATTCTCCTCATCAAAGTATTGGTGATGAAACTTGGTCATCGGTTTTCAATTTTCTTAGACATCAATGTTACACTTGTGACAAGATACAATAAAATTTAATAGTTGTTTGCCTATCCATCACAATTCTCTCTTTTAATTATGAAACTCATATTTTCTTGAAAATAAAAGTTAATTTAAGAAAGAATCATATGAAAAGTTGAGTTCAGTATTGATGGAATCATTACAAATTTATTGAGCTTCTACGAAAGACCACGTGTAACAGACACGAGTACAAGTCCTAGAACTTTGCACCATCACCTTTTATTCTTTTCCTTCCCTGCCTTTATTCCAATACATTAGCACACAAACTCCTTACACTTAACCACATACAAGCAAAGTCATCCTCTAAAATGTGGTGGAATAGGGAAATGAAAAATGTGTTTGGTACACGTTACTGAACAAGATAATAAATTTTTAATTTTTTTTATTCTTTAATCACGTTCAATAATAATTTAATCTAACGTACTAAACATCCCAAAAACACATCATGCATCAAGATCAACAAACAAAGCAAAAATGCCGAAGTTCACTATTCATACATGACAAATAATTGAAGTTTTCTTCTAAATAACTAAGAGAATTTGATAAAGGAATCACAGCATGATAGACGAGTTCGATATGCAGTACTAAACAATACATAGTTTAACTTCTAATTTTTAATTTTATTCATTAATGTTAGTTCAATGTACTAAAAAGTTTGTCAACCATCAAGACCAACCAACGAATCAAGTTGCCAAAATTAATACTCATACACAACAAATACTTGAAGTTATCCCCTAAATAATTAAGAGAAAGAAATCGAAACATCGACATATTTGGTATGCATTACTAAACAATACACAAGACAACAAATAAATTTAACTACTTTTATTCCAACGCACTAAACATGAGGGACGCATACACACAACAAGACCAATCAACCAAGGAATTTTCCCAAGTTCACAACTCTTACATGACAAATAATTGAAGTAAACAACACTACACACGCCAACAATCAAATCCAACATACTAAACAACCATGCCAAAAGCTCGCCCTGAAACAAGACCAACCAACAAGGCAAGTTGCCAAAGTTCATTATTCATAGGTGACAAACAATTGGAGGAGATCACTATGCCTTCCTCCCTTCATCCCAGCCTCACAACAATCAACTCCACCATTGGTGTACAGCAATACCCTCATCTCTCAATTTTCCATACAATGCTAAACATTGCCAATATGCTGTCTTAATGCCATTCTCTTCTTCACCTCCTTCATCTTGCCATTGATTCTTACACTCTAAAAACAACTCATCCACAAGACATATAGCCTTGTCTTTCATCATTTCCTCCACTACTTGTGCTTCTGCCTTCATCACTACATAGTCCTCGCGCTTCATATTTTGCATTAGCCATTCCGATATCCCCATATCTTGAGGCACAATTCCACTCATTGATTCCTCCTGAATCTCAATCTCCATGTTGTATATCTCAAATCGTTGATCCCTCATTGGATAATTCTTGTAAAACCAGTCGAGTGAACTTGTGTCGTCTGAGATGAAAATCCGTCGAGGATAATTCTCAAGAGAGTCGCTCAACAAATCAGGCAGGAATTTCAGCTTCCTTGATCCGAAACTAGATTTTGCAAATGCTCGTCTTGGTGGCTCTAGATACACGTCCTCTAAGCCCTTCAACGCCAATTTCTTGACCTCTAATGCAGGACCACATGATACATCCTTTGTTGGGGAATTCATCAAGCCATTTGATGTCCCAATTTTCCTCAATGCCACCACGGTGTTCTCAATGTCGGGAATTTGCTCATATAGACTATTCTCGTTCTCAAATCGTCGAAGATACACTATCCTATAATTTCTTTGTTCTTGAAGCACATTAGGAGAATCATTGCTTAATGGCGCAATCAAAATGCCACCATTCTTCAGAACACCATGAATCTGTTTAATTTCACGGAAACTCAAAGCCAAAACGAAATCAAACACGTCATTTTGGCTCAGTTTCTTCTGGTTTAGATCAGATTCAATGGAAAAATCAATACTATTTCCATCCATAAATCCAAAATCATCTTCAATATCACCAATGCAGGTGCCTAAAATGAGCCCTCTGTTGCCTTTCTTGATAAGGCCTTCGTCAACCAAATCATGGAAAAGAATAGGCAAGATCTTGAAACAATTGACATCCAAATCGGCATCAGTATCATAAAATCCATTCGAAGAATCCCTTCTTATACAGCCAAGGGAAAGCAATGCGACAAGAACCATTGCCAAGAACAATGATCTTGACATAATACGCAGAGCCCTGAAATCCGGGAGCTTAATAACCAAAAGGGTATCAGAATTCAATCCGATCCCAAATCCATTCACCTCATTGTTCATCTTGATTCGTTCCTTGGCTCGATAACCAGGAACCTTGCTGTCCATATTTTGCTCGCTCAAGAGGTCGAAAACTAAAATGTGGGTTTGTTTATCAACAATAAATAGAGGTCAATCACAAATCTGTGCAGTGTGGAAAATTTGAAATTTTCAATTTTGAAAGAGAGAACAAGCCAGAAAACGTGAAAAGAAAGGGTTTTTAGCGTGTACAAAATCTGGCAGCGGTGTGATTCCCACCCACGAGAGCTAAACGATTGCTTCTAATTCTACACCAGAGGAGCATCAATTCCCTAAATCTTGCAAATTCCATGACTAGGGTTCTTCAAATTTCTCCCTCCCTATATCTCTTCTCTCTCAATTCAAATGGAGTTTCGTTTCATTTCCATTCACATTATGCAAAAAACCAATGTTGGGTCTGTAATGAATGATTTGAAATTCAACCACCATGAACCAGAGAGATATCGATTGAAGAGAAGGAGATCTGGTGTAGAAAATCTGAAAATGACAACGTCGAGAGGGAGGGGGAATGATTTAGAGATAGGAACGGATAGGGATGGGTGGAGATAAAACGGGTGGGACCGTTGCGTGTGGGGTCCGCGGGGACTCTTGTTCATTTTGTGGTGTTTGTTTGATTCAATTGTTAATTATGACATAATAAATTCAAATTATGAGCTTGTGAACAACTGCAATTCTTGTAAATAAGACATGACATCGAAATGTTGTTATGATACTAGATTTTCAACAATTATTTCTTGTATTGTCATGACTTAAATAAAAATGTAATTTTTTCTGATTTGTCCACTAGACTGATATCGTTTGTCAAATTAGCCATACAAGTATGTATCTGCTCGACCTTTTTTTTATCGTGATTTATTTAATTTGATAAAATGTCATCTAAAGTCTGAGTGAGGTTATCATGCATCAACCAAATTTTAAATATTAAGTTTGATATTGTCTCCAACTTTGCGCATATTAAATAGAAAAAGCAAGTATGAGTGCCCAAACTTAAGGACCCTTTAGAGCTAAAGGGATTTGATAAAATAATTATTTTTGATTAATTTTATTTGTGACAACAAGAATCAATCATTTGATTGAAGTAGTCATTTTAATTAGCTTCACATGATCATCTTCTATCTTGTCAAGCAAATTGGGGATTGGTATTGTGTATGACAAAAAATACTTTATTAGTGAAATGAAATAAATTGTTTGGATAAGATTGGACATAAAATTAATAAGTTATGTCATATACATCTTTTCTTAAAATTTGTTAAAATTATTGTACTAAAGTCTAAAGATGCATTGGATGAGGATTTTCTAACACATTTTGTATTTTAAAAATAAATAAATATAGTACTCTATTGAGTAGAATGTAAAGGAGGAATGAGATAAGAAAGTACCAAGTAAATAGGGATAAAAATCGGGTGGGATGAGGTGGCCATTACCATCCCCATCCTATCGAAAAATTTTAGGAAGTCGGGTCGGTATGGGACAGTAGCGATGATTAAATAAATCTCTATTTATCATCTAGTTTAGTTAATTAATTAAAATTTAATATTATAACTAATTTTTCAATGTGATTTACATTGAGAATCCTAATAATAAAATAATTCAAGGTGGGATCGAAATATTCAGGACGAGGAATATTATTCATCTCCCCGCCTTGTTTACTATTCATGGTAGAGATACTCAACCTCATTCAAGGTGGGGCAGAGCGAAAAAAATTTCTATCTCTATAAGCAAATGGATTTTAACAACAACGATGTAAAAGCGTTGAAATTGAAACATCGTAGGGCAAGTGAAATAGAGAAAATTGTTGAAGGAAGAAAAAAAGAGAGAATGTTGATCACCTTGCTCTAGGAATGAACTTGTTATTCTAACTTAGAGCCTAATTGATATATATATTTTTTCAAAATATATTTTTGTGAAAGTTATATTGTTGAAGAAATGTTATGGATCCTCTTGAAAAATTATTTTATTGAAAGTGCGCATGATTGAAAATGACTATGGAAAAAATAAATTTTAAAGAATATGTTTAATCTCTTGATTTTTGGATTCATGAAGTGGCTTGAATTTGATTTTGGATCCTCTTGAACACTTGTTTTTTCCATTCTTTCAAAAAATCTTTTTTCTACATACTCATTTTCCATCAATGATCCACAAAATAAAATATTTTACACATAAACTCAAATCTTTCTCATAATTTTTAACCACTCATTATCAAAAAATTCACTATCCAAGCAATTTTATTTTTTTTTCCAAAGAATAGCCACCAAACAGGGGTTAAATTTTCATTCTTTTATTCTCCATTTAATTTGAATAAAAACACAAGCAAAGAGAAATTAAGTAGGGCTGGACAATGTCCGATTCAATTTAGTTCTAAGGATAAATGAATCGAATTGAACTCAAATTTTCGGGTATTTAGTAAATGGAACATTCGGGTCCAAATTTAATTACAAAACCGATTCCATTCAGTTATGAGATTCGTACAATAATTAATTTTTTTTTATATTTATAATAACACTGCATTAATTTAACTAATGACATGTTCAATTTTAGCTATAACAAAATAACGTAATCCGATCCCGTGATATCTTTTGCGCATCTCTTTTTTGAGTTCTCATATATTTGACAGTTAAAATTATAGGAAGAGGAAGATAGCACAATAATAAAGAGAGGTTTCCAATTCGATTTATCTAGACAGAAATGGTATACTACGCTAGAATAAGATATTTTTGTAAAATCTAGGCCGATTTGATTAATTGGACTTGGGCTGAAAATTAGAAATAGGAAAATCATATTTTAGGTTTGAGCTAAATTAATTAGTTATCAAATTTATTTAGAAAATAATAAAATAATTTGACTTGTTTAAGATAAAAAAATTAGGGGTATTCGATTTTTCGGTTCTTGGTCTAGAATCGAGAATCGAATCGAATCAAACCCGTCGATTCTCGGTTTAGATACTCGTTCAGATATTTAATTTGAAAAAAACTGCTTGGTTGTGTTCAGATTGGTTCAAATCCGTTTCGTTCGGTTAGTTCAGTTTGAGAGTTTTGTCCAACCCTAAAATTAAGCCCCTCTTTGACAACTATATTTACAATTTTTTTTTCAAATTTAATTTTTAACCATACATTCTCACAATAAAATATTATGTACATAAATTTAAAATTTTCTACCTTTTAACAATAAATTTTTTAAAAAATTACTATTTCAAAACTCATTTTTGCCCAAAAAAAAAAAAAA